GAAGGGCGCACAGGTAATGGGGAAAAAAATAAGAACTAAGATACATCATGTACAGGCATAAGCACCCGATGATAAATGTAAATGAATTGTAAACCGAAGATGTACCAATAAAAGAACTAAAAAAAAAATATGGGGAGCAGCACAGTGCATGAGGTAGAAACCACCTTGTCCCACTCAAGGGAGTATATTGCGACAAAAGTGAATCTGACGTGAAGTTAATTGATCGGAGGCACTGAGGACAACACCCCTCTGCATGCACAGTGTAGTTGATTCCTCAGGCGCCTCCAAGGTTTATAGTCTTGAAAGACTCTGAAATGGCAGTGAATGGGAAAGAATATTGATTTTTGTTTTACTTTTTCAATGTGAAAGAAGAAAATGATTATAATGACCTAGAACTGAATACTTTCTCTTTGAATTCCCATCTGAGAAGCTCTAAGCTCCTAGGCAGTAAATAAATGAATATTGTCAAACAAGTCTTTCAAATATCTGTTTTAAATCACACTGTAGTCAAGCAAAATACATACATAACATGAGATAATCATGTTCAGATTGTGTCCAAGGCAAACTCATTACAAAATTCACAGTCGTTTCCAAGACTAAAGGCATTTTAGAGAGGGAATATCCTCGAGTATTTATTCATCAGCAAAGAAATCACTTTAAAGTAAAGTACTCTATAATTTTCTCTATTTTTGACTAATAGTGAGGAATTCTCCTTCTCTTTGTGATCTCCCAGCAGTCTCTTGGGTGCAGTAGAAAGATGGGAAGCTCTGTCCTCAGGGTTTTTGTCTTCAGCACTTGGCAGCTCTTGTTTGTGAGTGGCTGCTGGAGTGACCATGTGGAGTAAGTAACATTTTCCCCTGACTTATGATTCTTGAATTTGGCGACCCCACTAAATTGTCAGTAGCACCATCATCTCAATAGAATTCGGATTCCCTTTCCCATAACCATATATGTCAGTTTCTAAATCCCCAGAGTTTAGATTCCAGGAAACACTGAGGGCCTCATGACGTGGGAAATAACTAGCACACAATGAAATAAAACATTGTGGTCACAAATTAACAATTGATTTATAAGGTAGAAAATCTTTTTTATACGATTCCCTGGTGAATATATATGCCATCATAATTCACTTTCTCATGCTCTGTTTATTTGTGTAGGAGCTAACTTAAACTGAGGCATACGCATAGTTTACATATACTCTACGCATATATTCAGCTGTGTCTGTCTGCATATGGCAGAATATATTTCATCAATCATGATATTCTGTTGCACAGTGTATGCCTTTCATGTGTTGGAATCTTTTCTGCAGCTTTCTAACCACCACATTTCTCCAGTTTCCAAACTGAAAAAAAAAGCAGCCATAAAGCACAAATTGCAATCTTGTAAATGTCATCTCCTGTGATCTTTGAGAAAATGTCATCAAAAACCAGTCTCTTGGCCCTGATTGGAAGCACTGCAGAATTAGTATCCAAGCAAATAGTAAACTTCAGTAAATATTAATAGGAGTATTCTCCTATTAAGAATATTCACAGAAGAATGGGAAATAGTCATAAGACATAGATAGGAGAAGGACATTTGGGTAGAAAATAAAGTTGGAGATTTTTGAATCTGAAATCCAACTGAGCCACTTGTCAAAACCAAATAATTCCTCTTTTTTCCCCTTGTACTAAAGAGCAAATCCAGGGATCCACATGTGCTAGGTAAGCACACTAGCTCTGTGCTACATCCTGGCCCAAGTGCCCCCTCCAGACTGAGGAAATAAGCCTAGAATTTTCTACACCTGCTGATCTAGTTGTTCTTAATGCCCAGTTCCACAGCTCCACAGTGCTTCTGGGTTCATGGTGAAATTTCAAAAATCAACAAACCCTAAGGAGGCTGACCTACCTAACATGACCTGGTAATATTTACAGACCTCCTTCTATCTGTTTTTGGTAAGTCTCCGGGGAACGTGTGTAGGAATAGATTCTTACACATGAGTTCAGGAGAATGGAATATTAAGTCTCATATGGCCAAATTCATCCACCATTTTCTAATCACCAAGGAATGGTATTTAATATGATAGAATTCCTGGGAAAATGGCAATGATTTTCTACACTGGTTAATTCAATGTTGAACTCAAAGAGGCTAGTCCGACTCTTTGAGGTCAAAATATCAAGCCAAATTGTCAGATTAGTGAAGAAGGCTGAAGTGACTAGAAGATAGATAATGTAAAAGACTCACTCTGGATGTAATGTGCTCTGCCAGTACCTACACAGCACCCTCCCCAAGTCTCAGCTGGCCTGTCACATTGCTCAGGGACAGTCATTTTCCAAAGACACAGAGAAAAGTATTACGGGGGGGGGCCAACAGCATCTTTGTAGAGATCTGCAGAGGCTCCGGCCATTGGCCAGGGCGGGTGGCCAGAAAAGTTGGAGTGCAATTAGATTCCCAGGGAAATGCAAATCACCCAGCAGCACATACCTGTGAGAGACAGGCTGGAAGCCACTATCCACATATAACTCAAAGTAAGCTTGTAAGGATGTATTTTTTTTTTTTTGTACAGAAATAGGTGGCTGCATTTAAAGCATTAGGAGGCTCCTAAGTAAATAAGTAGATGCGAAACCAACCAAGGCATTATTTTTCTTGTAAGGAGACAAGTGATTTGTACACATACAGAAATAAAATATCCTTTATAATTTTTTTCTAATCTAAATTCAATTGCAGCACTAAAAGCGAGGATTGAGGATATGATGCAGTCCCACTATATGCATATTTATTTTTGTTTTTGTTTTCTCTGCTTTTGATATCATAGCCAAAGAAAGGATTGCCAAGAACAATGTTAAAGAACTCTATCCTTCCATTTATAGCCACTTTATAGTTTCAGGTCTTACATTTATATCAATAAATCTACTTGGAGATAATTTTGCATATGGTGTGAAGGAAAGATGCAATTTTCTTCTTGTTTCATATCTACTCTATTTCCCCCTCACCATTTATTGGTTAACATGCTTCACATTGGATCTCGAGAAGATAAACATCCTGTACCACTTACACTTTGTAGGCTTTTGTTAAAATCTCTCCATTTTCCTCAGTCATCCAAGCCCCCAAACAACTATGTATATAGTTACCGATTTCATAATTTTTATTATTAATTCTACCCATGATTGAGACCATGAAGTATTTGTCTTTCTGTACCTGGATTATTTTATAGAGAATAATATCTTCCAGGCCATCCATGTTGTGAAAAACGACAAGATTTGCTTTTCTTGAGACTGAATTGTATATATACAATTATCTTTATTCATTTATCCATCAATGGAAATGGACAATTCCATATCTTAACTGTTGTGACTAATCCTACAATGAACACAGCAGGCAGGAGACTGTCGGCATCTCTGTGAAATACTGATTTCATTGACATTGGATATATAGCCAGAAATCAGACTGCTGGAACATATAGTAGTCCTGCTTTACAATTAAAAAAATTAATATAGAGACTTCGTACTGTTTTGCATAGTGGCTCTACTAATTCACATTCCCAACAGCAGTGTACAAACCTCCCTGTGTCCTGCATTCCTATCAACACTTGGTGTCATTGTTTATAGTAGCTATTTTATCAGGTGTGACATAACATCTCATTGGTTTTGATTTGCTTTTCCCCACTTATTGGTGATGTTAAGCATTGTTCATATACCTTTTGACCATTTACAGATCTTATTTTGAGGAACATCTATTTATGTTCTTTGCTCATTTTTTAATTCAAATTATTTATTGCAATTAAGATTTTTTCTATAAATTGTTTGAATGAGTTGCACATTTGTGTTTATTTTTAGATTTCCAAAACTTTTCTCATAAGGCAACTTTTTATTTTATTTTTTATTTCTATTTATTAGTATATGTTTCCAGTGCATAATGATTGCTTTGCTCTTGGAGAATTAGATATTAACATCTTATCAGATACAAGTTTTCCAAATATTTTCTCCAATTTCTTCGGTTATCTTAGTTTTGGATCATCCTAGAACAGGCTACAACGTTACTGAGATTCTGAGAAAGTTAAATGATGTGCATAGCTTTAATTTTCATTTTGTAACTCTCAAGTTGTCTGTATGTATGATATTTTAACCTATAAATAGGAATCATATACCTGATGATAAAACCATTGACAAAATTTGATGGGTTAAATGACTTGCTTTTCAATATATAGCTTATAGGTGAGAAAACAGAAATGTAAACCTAAAACCTTCAGTTTTAAAGATGTGTATCCTGCTTATTAGGAGAGAAAGAAGAGTCCTTGCAAGAGTTAGGAGTCAGGCTGGCTTTGAACTAACCTAGTTCTCCCTTCCGCCTTGTTTCTAGCTCTTGAGCATAACTCTGTAGAGCGTGTCATGAATGCACACCTTGAGACTGGAGGGACAGCTCGACACAGCCCTGGGCTCTCTAAAGACGCTCAGCATGGGATGCTCACAGGCAGTGGTGTAGGACTGAGGTGTGAATCCTGGGCACGCTGGATTTTAGAGTCTCCCATCTGCTGTTCAAGGTTCATGCAGCACAAGCCCCCCGCTCACCCTGAGCCTGTAGGTCCTGGATGCCTGAACCCTGGGCTCTGTTACCCCGTCTTGATCTTTTTTTTTTTTTTGGTACTGGGGATTGAACTCGGGTCCTTGCGCTTGCACAGCAGGTGGCGAAACCACTGAGCTAAATTTCTGGCCCCTCTTGTTGCCCCTTCTTGACTGTAAGTAATAAATACAGTCCATGGGACTTGGTGGTGTGTGTGTGCGTGTGCGTGTGTGTGTGATGTAACTCACTGAAATCATAAGAACTCTAATAACTTGTATGACAAACATAGTTTGAAAAACAAATATCCTTTTTCTTTTCTGGTTCTCATTTCTTTTCTTGCTGAGATCAAAGATCACATTTCCTTGACCATAGATGCAGGAGAGAATACATATACTGCTCAGGGTCTCTGAAGTTCCAGTAGACAAATATTTCACTTATGTAATTCAACAATCAAGGGCAAAGCATAAAAAAAACTAGAAGAAAAAAATGAAAACAAAGCTTTTGTAAATAAGAAGGAGAAAGGAAGGGAGAAGAATGAGGAAGAAAGAAGAATCAAGATATATCAGGTACAGGTAAAATTTCCCTGTGAGGAATGTGATCATTATGTATAACAGAAGTACCAATAAATTTAATTTAACAGTATCAAAGGAAAATAAACAGTTGTATAGAATAGAAAGAAATAGAGATATAGATGTAGATAAAAAAGAAGAGAAAAAGAAAAGTCAGGAGAAAGGTTTCAAAAATCTCTACATCCTTTGAGATTTACAGCAGTTGTCTTTATAGAGTGAAAGAATTATTTATAAAATCTAAGATGCAAAGACCATATATCCTTCTTCAGTTCTGTGTATGCATGAATTAAATGTAGAGGATATTACATTGAAGTGTGCCCCATTTTCTAACTTTAAGTGCTTTTTTACATATAGAACATGAGGTCTTGTCAACACACAAGTCCCTAATATTGGTAACCATGTGTTTTTGTTTGCTAAACCTGCCATAGAAATGCCACACGCTGCGTGGCTTACTGAACAGGAATTTCAAACAGGGGTTTGAAGTCACAGTCTGAGGTACAGCAGGGCTGATCACTCATGTGGCCTCTCCTGAGCTCATAGATGCCCTTGGCCCTGTTGCTTCCTTACACCATCGTTTGTATTGTATTCCTACTTAATTGGTGGCACTTTGTTTGCCTGAATGCTCTCCTCTTTTGTAAGGAAACTAACATACTTTACTTGAGTCCACCTTAGTCAACTCATTTTAACTTAGTCAGCCTTGAAAGGTTCTGCCTCTAAGCACAGTGTCATTCTGAGGAGATACACAGGAGAGCTCAGGTTGAATCTGGGGGGAATGTAACTCAGCCCATAAAAACAAGGATGGATGGGAATTTCCTAATACATAAAACAAAGCATTGTTGCCTGGAAAGTGAGAGAGAGGAGAAATAGAGGGAGAGAGAAGGGGGGAACATATGACAAATAATATGGATCAAAGGGTTCAGTTTTGAAAATTCAGTTTAGTAGAATTTCTATTATCAGATTCACTTCACTGTTACATTCTGAGTTAGATCCATCAGACCCACTTTTAACCAACCCTTCCTCATTGCATCACATCCTACTTCACACATCAACTTCTAATTCCAGATGGAGTCTAGGGCAGTCTTTGGAGACCTGTGGTGCATGCTCCTGTGCTGCTGTATGGGAGTGGTCCGAATGGGCCCTTGCAAACCTGCGTATATCAGGTCCAACAAAAGCGTGCCTGTCACCAGAGCATAGGAAGAGAGTGTTGCTTCC